CCTATAGTTAGTGCTCAATGAATATTTGATGAATGAATAAATTCCTGAGGCCAAACATCATAAAATGTGAATGGTAGAGACTAGAGATCAGCCTGGGTGGACAATAAATATTTTGCTAGATGTTGGGGGTAGGAATAAGGGATAAAAGAGATAATGAGGGATATGAGAAAGCATTAAAAGCAACTGCTTACCAGTTAGCCTTTGGCCCTGGATCCAGTTCGGCTGTCAGAAAAGCAAACCATCAGCCCAAACTGGCAATACAGCATGAGGCAAGTTCCTGACTCAGTATGAGTCTCAGTCACCTCAACTGTAAAATGAAAATAATACCTGAATTACAGGATTGTTATAAGAAGTAAATAAGATAGTGTATATAAAGTGCCTAACAGTGCCTGGTACACACTGGGTGCTTGAAAATGTAGCAATTATAATTTATCAAATCCCAATGTGCTATTTGTATCCTGAATTTATGGGGACTTCAAACGGTGTGGTTATTTCTCAAACCACAACTCATCAAGAATTCCAAGACTTTGTTGAATTTCATCGCAAAAAGGAGTATCGATAACTTCCACAGGACGGCACTGTGTTCCAGCCCTGTTTCCCTGCGTTCGATGGGTTTGAAATATTGTAAAATTGTGTGACTGATGCCCTCTGCTGGCTTTTGTTTTTCTTGACCTTGGGCCTTTGGCTTAGATGATGTTTAATGGCTCCATGCTTCCTTGAAAATGCTCAGCATGGATTCTTATACCCACAATTTAAGCCAGCTGCCCAAAGCCTCACTCAAAAGTTTATAGTACCGACACAGCATGCAGGCATCCCACTGACACCAATCTGGCCACCACGCAGAACCAATGTGCTGCTGTCCTCAGATCCCTGCACGGCCTTCTAGCTGCCTGCCAATCACCCAGAAGCCACATCAGGCCACAAAACAAAGCACACCTGCTGCTCTACAGCTCTACCTCTCCCTGATCCCTTCCATTCCCAACTACAATCCCTGGCACCATTTTGGAAGGACAGGCAAAGCTGCCTCCCCATTCCTCCTTCTTTGCCCTCACTTATCACCACCACCCACCGTCCAGCATATCTACTGAAAGGAAGATTGACGGGAAGCAGAGCCGGGAGGAAGGGGTGCAGGGTGAGGAGGGCTGACAGTTTCCTACACAAGAGATTTTGTTTGGGATTTTAATTCCAATGCTACTGTAATGCCTTTTCCTTCCATTTCCCCCTTCCCTTCCCACACACACATCATAGTATTCTCTAAAAGTCTAAATTGGGGCGCCTGGGTGGCGCAGTCGGTTAAGCGTCCGACTTCAGCCAGGTCACGATCTCGTGGTCCGTGAGTTCGAGCCCCGCGTCGGGCTCTGGGCTGATGGCTCAGAGCCTGGAGCCTGTTTCCGATTCTGTGTCTCCCTCTCTCTCTGCCCCTCCCCCGTTCATGCTCTGTCTCTCTCTGTCCCAAAAATAAATAAAGGTTGAAAAAAAAAATTTTTTAAAGTCTAAATCATTAACATTCTGCTTGCACACTTTCAGTGTTGTTTAAATTTCAGAGACTGACCGCATCACGTTACTTAAGTGATGAGTAACTTTCCCAACAACTGTCACACAGGTCATACCAATCATTATCTAGGCCTGCCTCCCTATGCCGCCAGCAGTAACCCAAAGCAGCATGCCATAAGTAAGCCTCATCATCCCGCAGTGAGCTCTTAGTACCACTTAAGAGCTTGGAGTTTCTTAACATTTTCTTACAAAATATTTATGGCTTTTTTATTTGCATTTTACCCCAAAACTTTTTGGAATCCATTTACATTCTTGGTCTGTGAAACTTCTTGGAGTTACTGCAGAAAGTGTATAAAATTGTATTTTCATTTGTCTTAAACTTGCCTTGCTCAAATTTCAAAGGGTGTCTTTTGTAACTCATGACTTGGTAAACAAATCAAGATTCACTTCGACCCTTTATAGTTTTATAGGTGATGATGTTGTATCTCTGTTGAGCCTTCCTTCCGGGCTGTGGTGTTCTATTCTCTAATCTGTTTTCATAGGGCCAGTCTTTCCCTTTGGTTCCTTACTATTTTGATTTTTTTTTTTTTTAATTTTTTTTTTTCAACGTTTATTTATTTTTGGGACAGAGAAAGACAGAGCATGAACGGGGGAGGGGCAGAGAGAGAGGGAGACACAGAATCGGAAACAGGCTCCAGGCTCTGAGCCATCAGCCCAGAGCCTGACGCGGGGCTCGAACTCACGGACCGCGAGATCGTGACCTGGCTGAAGTCGGACGCTTAACCGACTGCGCCACCCAGGCGCCCCTCCATTTTGATTTTTTAATTATCTTTCTGTGATCCATTTCTAATTCCACTATATTGCTGGTTATGAGGCAACCAATTCTGTACAAAGAATTCCAAGTGCAAAAGCACTAGATTGTTTAGATCTCAATACCCTTCCAGATTACGCCCGGAATTTAGAACCAACGTCCTCCAGATACTACAATTAGAACACTTAGCCTGAGTGTACCATCTCAGGCACCTCAAACTTTATGTGTCCCATTCTTATTTTCTTATCTACTTCACCTCCAAACCTGTTCTCACTTCTGTCTTTTCACGGTACACAAATCCACTCAAGGCAGATGCCGGTCATCCTCCAGTCCCTTCCATTTCCCAACATGAGTCTACCAAGTTCTCTGACAGCCTGTCTAATCAGGCCTCTCATCTCCACACCCATCGGCCTCACACCCTTAGTCCAGACGTTCACTCTTCACTATTGCCACAGAGCTCCCCGGGCTCAGCCCGAAAACTGGTGCCAGAATTGTATTTATATATATACATATATATGCACATACATAGAGAGATATACACACTCATGAAAGTGTGTGTGGTGGAAATCTTGTCTCCCTTTTCAAAACCTCAATTTACATTGACACTGACTGCAGGATACGAGAATTCAAAGTACTCAGCACTCTCAGACCCCATACCCTCTCCCTGTAGCCCATCAATCCTGTGCTTCTGTCCACTGCCAGGATAAATCAGGTCCCCGTGCACTTTGAACATACTGGTTCACTCTGGTTGGAATATCCTTCTCACCATCTTTCCACCTGAATTGAGTTGGCAGCCCCACTCTACATCATCCAACCCTCAACTCTCCGTTCCCCTCCCATTTCCACAACCACCAAACCAAATATGGTCAGGTCTTGGGGGGCTCCAAATACTATACACAGTGTGACAGAGAAGAGCTGAAAAATGACAGCACAGCACATTAATTCGTCCCACTGAAACTGTTTTTGAAAGTGGCTCAAATCTGGGGAACTTTCTGCTCATTGACACAGATGTGGCTGCTTACGTGAGTTCCCTAAAGCTGATAATCACCTACCTATTCAAATAGGGCAAATGTATTAAAACATAAAAAAAAAAAAGCACAATCATATACAATTCTTTACTACCTCCAACCACTGTTGCTCTGTTCCTGATGTGAACTACACAGTAACTATGAGCCAGTTCTGCCCACTCACGAGGGGTGAAATGGCCACACCCAATGCAGGATCGATGCTTTGAGCTCCACAAGTCAGTTTCCAAGATCCTTCTCTCCCCTCTGGCCAGTGTCCTTGGGACTAGGAAAGCAATCTAACTGGCCCTAAGGAAAACTACCCATTCTAACGAAACACTATTCTCATCAGTCCAAAGAGCTCAAGACACTAGTTCACAGTCCTGTTCGAGACATTTTTTGAGAAATCTATGTTCAGAGAAATACAAGCATTACTTAGTTTCTGACTTGAAATTAATTTCTAGTGAGAAGGGATGGTGCAGGGACTTGCCCCAAATGAGTTATGTCATGAGTTACCAGATATTCTGGGAGGCACCCAATGCATCTTACACTTCATCTCTGTCCCTCTTCAAGTCGTCCTAGAGATCAACCTGATACAGCAGTAATGGCGAACATTACCGTTCCTCTGCTATGCGCCCAGAGTTCCTCAAAGCACTGATACATCTCATCTAATTATCACAATTCTAGAGGTAAATACTTCCATTCCCACTTTACAGATGAAAAAACTGAAACACAGAGCAGTTGCATAACCCAAGATTCAAGCATTTGCTCCCTCCTTAGATAAACTGGATTGCTCCCAATGACCTGTGGTTAAAGCCCAAATTCCTGAATATTCACACCCCTACTTGTTACTCAAACCTTCCTTTCCAACTTTCCCTCAAACCCCCAGAACCCTGATCTCCCATGAAACACCTTCCCACTTTTGTGCTTGTCCTAAAAAACAGACGTGGCCCAAAGGCAGCCACATGTTGCATGCAAGTGTGGCTTTTGTCCAGATTTAAATTTGGCAGAATTTACAAGTCAGATTTCACATTAAAAATCACAATTACAGCTACTGAGACTTCATTTAGAAATCATTAGATGTCATCAGAAATCTGAAGCTCTGCAGCCAGGCCTACGCTCTGATTAGAAACACTCAGCTGGAGCAGAGTAGTGATCGCCCTCCCTGGCCGGGGCCAAGCTCCATCCAGTTTTCAGCTGCCATTAGCCACACAAAGTATGACTCGTGTGACTTGTATGCCTTGCTCATATTACTGACCTGATTCCTAAAGGCCTTTGCCACCTTGCCCTAAAACCATCTTTTACTTACTTAAATCTCACCTAACCACCAAGACCAAGCTCAAATGCCATCTCCTCTAATAAATATTTCCTAGTTTCTCCAATTCAGTTTGGCCTCCAGCCTCTGAATTCCCTCAGCATTCTGATTATGTATTGCGACACATCACATCCGGGTCCCAGGCAGTTAGTGTGCACGTGCCTCACTAAGAACTATGTAGAAACTCTGAGTGAGGTAAGGTTAAATAACCAATTCTGTGATCTTAGGCGACAAAATGTCACAGCATCTAGGATTCTAGGATTTGAGATCCAGATAACCAAAGGAGAGAAGTGACTTGAACACACACACATACTTTCATTCTCTTCATGTCCCTTCTGTCAGCCTTCTGCTTACAGAAAAATCATGGGACAACTTAATGGATGTGTTGTTATTTTTTTAATAGAAACCACATCACTTCCTTTGTTACAGCAATAATGAGGCAGTAATTCAAGAGGGTCCCAGAAAGCTTTTTCATCCACAAAGTAACAGAAAGAAAAACACCTTCATCACTCACGCCCTTGGTTAGCTTTTTCTTTTGATCTCTGTTCCCCCACCCACAATAGTATGTTGCTTCCAGAATGGGATTCTGCCTTCAAATCTTGTATGAGCTGGGAGATTAGTCTATCAGCTTCCCTTAAGAACCGAATGGAAGTCCCTAACTCAGCTGAGAAACCTGGACAAGTCTTCTTTGATTTCAGCCTCATCCCAAGGCCCATGAATGTTTTCTTTAAAAAGCTGCAGGCGAATGAGGTAGAAAGGGCAGAGACAAGAGATGGAAAACAGCAGAAGGGCAAAGAGGATGGCTCCCACAGCACTAATGGACAGCAGGCCTCCCAA